CATCAATTGTTCAAAAGTCTTTGAAGTATTCACTGATAGTATGGATAAGAGTGGGCCAAAGAATACAGTGGCTGTGGGTTTCCACCAACCTTTCAATGAGATTTCTCCTCAGACATGTCTAGCTCCAAGCTTGTAAGTGTGAAGAGGAAGAGCCTTCCTCTTCCTAGGAAGAGCCTAGGGACTAATGACTTGTTAAAAACAGGAATAAACGGCCATTTTTCACATCTGAGTGAGGTATTTTGTGGAGTGTCAAAGGAACATGTGCTGGGAGAGGGCTCCTCAGTAGAAACGTTAGGGAAAAGGACTGACGATTCAAAATGACTAAAGCAGTAAGAAGTAAAACTTCCTGCAAACAGTTGCAGAATACTTTTTCCATCTTGAATGCCTGAAAGATGAAACATCAGATGAGTTTCAACACCAATAAATGTCAATAACACACGGACTATGGAAGAAAAATGACCGGTCTATGAATCTCCGCAGTCAAGAGCCCAGCATTAGTAATTACCACTCAAGGAAGAGAGACTGGGGTCACTTTCAGACCTGAGAAATGACAGCCCCATGCCTAGTGACTGCCATAGTGACCAGTACGGTTCCTATAGCCTTCTCAGAGGAGGACCTCAGTGCTCTCAGAGTGGTGGCTCCAACATCACCTGGACAAGGAGCTCCATGGAGAGAAGTGCCAGATAAGCAAGACCATATTGACATGTTGTTTGTGCTGACACAGAGTTTCTCCTCAGCCTCCCTAAGAAAATTCTGGTTTAACCAGGAGATGAGTTTTTAGATGAGATCATATGCAGCAGTTTGAGCCCCTTAGTCACCACTTCAATCTTCTTGCTCCTCCCTTTCACTTTTGGTGTCATTCAGCAGAGTGTCAGTGCTGATTGTTGGGATCTGGGCATTCAGGGGAAGGACTGTCAGTGGCCAACAGGCTGTAGCTGACAAGAAAAAGGTATTAAAGAAAGCGGCAACAATCTCATCCATTCCCTCATGGACTTGTAATGCCAAGGAACAGAGAGCAAAGCCATAACACCAACAATCCTGCACAAGCACTGGTGTTCAGGACCAGCTGTGACACCTGTTATGAGCAAACCCTGGCACTGAGAAACACACTGTGTGAAAGGATGCTTGGGTGCCTCACATGGCTAAATATCTGGGTAAATGCGCTCAGCCAGAAGCAGGCTTACTCTTTCAGCTAGCAGAGAACTACCTATGCGCCCTGGGATACACGGCCAGTACAACCTTCCAGATTCAGTGCTGGTCTGATATGTGCCCTCCAGGGGAACTGCTTAGGAATTGTCTGCAGGTTAATGAAAAGTTCTGAGGAAAGAGTAAGGAGGAACAAAAGCATCCCATTAAAATGGAGGTCTGGTCAGTTAGGTGGGACACCACGTACATCCCTAGAAAATTACCAACCACCATGTCCCCACTAAATCATACCACTTTGAATTAATCTGTGTGAACAGTCAACAAAGAAGTAAGTAGAAGGATTTATTCTGAAGTGCAGATACCATCTCGTTCACTTAGCCTCTGTACAGACTCACAGTGACTCAAGCTCAAGGAACCTGTGATCTTTGCATAAATCCATCTCCCAGGCTTCTATGCTTGGGGAGTTTGCGGGATTCATCCTCTGTTCTGACATGAAAGTAAGGAATTTATCCACATCAAAAGGGCTCTATCTGCCATTGTCTGGCCATCCTCCCTAGTTGAGGCAGGCCACATACCAATTTCTTGATCATTCTGAGATTTTACTAACCTATTTACTTTTTCAGCTGCACATTTTGCAGCCCCTACCCCCTCTAAAAACCTAATAAATGTAGCACTTGTCCTTTTTTTCCTGTTCATCATTGCCCAATGTTTCTACCTCCTTTTCTTGTGTATTCCTGATTTTAATTCATGATAATACTTTGCTTCCTGCCTAGGAACAATCTTGAGTTTTCACCGCACTTGTGTGGGACCATGTGAAAAATTTTCTGAAAGTCAAAACCTGAATTTTTTAATTGGTTCTGGTTTATTCACTGCTTTAGAGGCACCTCCAGACTGCTCTGAAAAATTAGGAGACCACAGCCTGTATGCATCTCGTCCACTAATCATTTTAGTAGTCCATGCTAGGAAAAAAAAGGCCTTTGTCTTAATTTATCATTTAGGGGGGCAATGCATCTCCATGAAAGAGGGAAGACTATGATAGTCAAGGGCTTTAGGGGCCCAGAAGGCTCCTGCACTGTCTACATCCTCAGTGTGGGGTCTTTTACCAAGTCCTCTTCTGTGCATGAGCCTCAGCAGAGACAAGGTGCCGGTGATAGAGGTGATGGAAGAAGCCCACCCAAGAGAGTGTCTTGCAGCAGGGACCAGGCCTGTCCTACCAGCCTCCTCGAAACATCTGACATCAGGCCTGGAGCTCATGTGCCCATCCATCACATCTGCGGATGGTCCTGAAGGGGTAGAGGGACAGATCCAGGGTGAGAGCAGGACATGAGGTGCTGTGCACTTTGGGCAGCTCACCTCTCCTTGCCGATCCTAAGCCAACTCCACTGATGGGCTTTTACTGCCACAGGGAGATCTACCCCAAGCAGGATCACACCGTGCAGTGTCTCCCTTGCGCTCCACTCCTCTTCCACTGAACTCAAAAGATTGGAGATGGTAACTCGCAGGCAGAAAAGGACATGAACGTGAATGACTCCAGTAACAGCAAGAGGGGACTGAGGAAGCAGAGCTTATTCTCACAAGAAGATGTAGCATTGGAGCAAAAGAGTCCCGGAGACCCTCACTCTGGGCTGCTGGGTGACATGTGCATTGTCACGGCTGATGTGAAACCAGGGACCCATCCATCACATCTGCAGAAGTCCTGAAGGGGCAGAAGAACAGAACCAGGGTGAGAGCAGCACATGAGGCATTGTATGGCCAGAGCCTCCTCAGGCAGGTCCAGCTAATGCATGATGAAGAAGACGGTTAAGTACTGGCAGGCTCCAAAGAGAGCAGGGATACCTGAGAGGGGTTTTTATCAGCAGGGGCAGTAAATCATACAGGAGTTTGCAATGCAAAAAAGTACAAGAAACTGCAGTTTGAGACTGTGAGTGTCAATGAGTCCTGTCTTGTCCTTGAGCTGCTCATGGTGTGGTTCTGCTAAATGCTGGCATTTGTTTCAGGACAGCACTACTTACGAGGAGAAGTCTATTAGATGGGACATTTCAAATGTAATGGACTAAACATTAGGAAAAATTAGTAAGGAACAAGTGTTCTGACCACCTTGCTGGACACTGCAGTAGGGCTCTGTTTACTGTCTTGGGTCAATGCTTGGGGATGAATTTATTTCAATAACCTTTTCCCCATCAGACATTAAGGGATGTCCACTTTATCAGATGTAGCATGATGAGGAAATCACATGCCCAGCCCATGACAGGTAGAGGGCTCAGCTCAGGACAGCCTCACTGCATGGACTACATGAGGGTGAGGGACCCCAGCACTTCTCAGGTGTAACTGGGGCATTGCTGGAATCAGAACTTCTGGGACTACTGGGTTTCTAAGACCTCTGGCAAGATGGGCCTACAAGTCTGGGAGCCCTGAAATTCATGCCACGAAACCAAAATGTTTAAGAAACCCCAGGATTAAAAAACAAAACAAAACAAAACAAAACAACCAAACCCCAAACCAGTTCTGAAGGAGTTTTCAGGTGGATGTTTATGACCTAGCAGGAATTTAGGCAACTTCCCAGGTGACACCTATGTGTCAGGGAAGCTGAGACCTGTCCCTGACTTAGCTTGACTTATACCACTTATGTTACAAGGTAAAAGGTGCCATCAGTTCATTTCCTTCCACTTACCTGAAGTGAAACAGATGTGGACTTGGGGACGGGAAGCCTCAAAGGATCTACACTTCTTTACTTTGTGTTTTTGCAAAAATTTTTTCTTCTCTGAGAGAACATTTGGTAGGTGGAGAAGCATCCTCCATTGCAGCTATGTCCAGCACACAGCTATGCCCAACCTCCTTGGGATTACTGCGCTCATCTGTAGCACAGGAAACTTTAAGTCAAAATTTAGCCCTGCTTCATATATTTGGCATTATTCTGAGCGTCTGTGTGTAACAGAACAAGAAGACATGTTCTAAGTGCCTGCAGCATATGCTACCCGAGCCACAGCATATGTAAGCATCTCAAGTGGATAATCCTACGGATGCAGCCACATACTGAGGAGCACCGAGGCGCACAGCTTTGGGCACACCTATGCTGCAAGAGGGAAGCGCAGATGAAACACCTGAGCACTCCTGTGCTCACTTTCAGCTTTCTAGCTTAGCCCCAGGGTCTGTGCAGCCCAGGGCACAGCCTGCTCTGTGCGTCAGCACCCAACCAAGCCAGGTGAGGGGCAGCAGCGGCCGGAGTCACAGCTCCATTTGCCAAGTAGCCACATCCTCTGGCTCCCGGACAGGACAGGGATCCAACACGGCACTCACGCAGAAGGCCCTGCACCCAGCCGTCCCCTTGCCGAGGACACTTGGCCTGACTCCAGCCCTTCCTTCCTCTTAGGGGTACGCAGACGCCAAAACCACTGGCTGCCCAAGCGTGGGAGCCGAGGTTGCAGGGCCTGCCTTGCACCACGCTGCAAAGAGTTAAGCCCTTGCTCTGTTGATATTTCCTAGCGGCTCCCAAAGTCGGCCGAGACGGGGAGCGCTCCGATTGGTTGCTTACCGGCCGGTAGTAATTAGTATCAGATATCAAACTTCTGTCTTTGCTAAGACCCTTTCCGATAGTCGCTGCTCCCCGCTAGACGATGACATCAGCCAGGACACCCATCTGCTGGTAGTAAACTCCGGGCGGGAGGAGGCTCCCGCTAGCTCCACGTTAATTAATTCAACACAGCACAGGGGGAGCAGTTGGAGTCTGTGGAGGGTCAGTGCTGCATGGGACCAAATCTTTCAAAGCCACTTGCTGCTTCTTGCCAGCCAGCTGTAAAAGCACCCAGAGAGTCCAGGAGAGCTGGATGAATCCTGAACACTAGCTGTGGTCTGGTCAGCTTTTCTCTGTGGAGGAAGTTAATGGTTTAAGTGAGGGGCGTCTGGATCTGGTCCCCGAGTCACCATGACACTCCTGGGGTCTGAGCACTCCTTGCTGATTCGGAGCAAGTTCAGATCAGGTAGGGGAAACCTTGAGATTTCTCTTAAAACTTCTCTCTCCGGCAAGCCGCAGCCACAGACTGTTTTGCATTAAATGTTTGGAAGCAGCATGCAAGCAAAATATTCAAGGGGTCGTAGAGCTGTCACGGCTTTGCTTTTACAGAGGTTATTCCGCAAGTGGAGAAGCGCATCTTCCTTCCTCTCTGGGTTTTGGGTTTTTTTTCCTGTTTTTTCATTGTCTTCTATCTATGTCTGTGATTTATTTTGGTAAAACTGCAGTTCCCGGGTCTCCTGCCCTGGCCCTGCTGCAAAGGATTTGGGCAGGAAGCCAAAAGGGCATCTGGGATAAACAAGGTACCTAACACCGTCCGTATATTCCAGGTGCTCTTGTGGGTCTGTCTGTGATAATCGGAGTGAGCTCGGGCCTGATACTCTCTCTGACATGCAGGCAGCTGACTTTGTTCCATTAAGTTGTGACTAATTGGAGAAAAATGAATTTGAAGAAATGCGTCATTTTTAGAAGTAAAAATAACAAATGGAACATGAAAAGTATTTAAAGTGACATCATCAGAGAAATAAAACCGGAGCCACACAATTGATTGCCACTCTCTGAGGGTTTGCAAGCAAAACATGCCTCCGTCTTGTAAGTTAGGGGAAGCACCGGTAAGGGGCTTCTCAGAGGACATTCAGCGTGAGTGAAGGTGAGTGAAGGTGAACTATGGGATGGTCACTTCTAAATCAGACCCTCTGCTGGATATTCATGTCTTTATTCACTGGCTTTATTTATAGTAAGTATGCTGTGTTTGTGAGTGGGTATCTCTGCTTGTAATTTTTTTAGTGACCATAATATATTGTGATATTAATGTTAAAAAATGTTCTCAAGGAGCTTTCTCTGACCTTCCCAGAGGTGAAGTTCTCTCCAGGAATATTATCTGTGAGGATGTTCAGATAAACCAGCTGCATGTGCTGTACGGGACGCTGTAAAACCAGACGGGGTAGTCACGTTGGAACGTGCACCCAATCTGGCAAGTCACCCATGCTGTGTGTGTTTTTGCCTCCTTGTGCATTGTAGATAATGAAATTAGAGATTTATGATACTGATGGTAGACATGAGTAGTGTTATCAGGATCTCTTAGATAGCTGGGTGGTCAACTTAAACTTTGTTTTCTCAGCAAATACAAAGTTGGCAGTTGGTTGAAAACCCAGAGTGTGTGTGCAAACACAAGTGTTCTAGTCTGGCCGAATTATACAAAACCTGGGTCCAGGGCTTTGGTGTGGTTTCCATATCACTCTGATCTTACATTTCATTAGATTAAGTCATTCCTTAGATTTTGTTGGTATATTATGGTACATTGCTGTTCATTTGAAAAAAATCTGTCTGTAACAATTCCTCCAGCAACTACAAAGCAACACTGCCACCTTTCTGACAAGAGCAGGATGGGCCGTGTTACATGTCCCTGCATTCTTTTCAAATGAACCAGTATTGTTTTTAAGGCTCATTTCTGGTTTATTTGTAAGCTGGCTTTACTATGGAACCAACAGTGGGATCTCTAAACATATTTTTCAAATGATTATCCAGTAAAAGTAAACTTTGTGGGTCTTTGAGTCCATAAATTCTTGTGCCTTTCAGCATTTCTAGGGCAGTCAATTTGTGGGGCATTCTTTGGTTCATGACTTATTCCCATAACTGCCATCCCTCACTATTGCCTGGTGAAAGATAGGTTTCCCATATGACAAGATTTCTCTTCCTATTTATTTTGCTTGAGTTGGGCTTGCCAAAATCCCAAATGCATGTCTGCACCTCACTCTCTCCAGTGCTGGGATCACTGCAGGTAATGTGGGACATGGCCACAGCACAATCCTGTTCATTGCAGTCTTGAGATGGGGGAGGAAAGCGGGATGCTGAGGAGTACAAATAAATCAATAATGTTGCTTTCAGTTTGTGCTGGATTTTTAGTAACATGGGGAATAGAGAAGAAAAGCTAGCATTTAATGGTTGAAGTGGTTGAATTTCTTTTATGTGCAAAGTCTCTATGGGATAGAGTTTCCTCTGGTGTCCCTGCCTCTGTGTGCAGACTTCGGTAGATGTAAAGTCCCACAAGGATGCCAGGAGGGTAGTTCTCTGATTTATTTTCCTCCATTCACTTGGAAGTGTGATGAACGTCTCAGACAACCCATCGCCCTGCACCACACCCCCCTGCATGGCTGAGAGGCTGTAACACGCTACAGGACAGCAGCAGTTTACACAGAAAGCTGTGTAGCTTGCACGGAACATGCGAAGGACAACCCAGGAGGGAACAGCCCCTGAAATGCCAAGCCCCAAGGATCCATGTTTCGTGATGCGCCATTGCTTTGGAAATGATCTTGCGCAGGCAGGTGTGAGGCTTTGCTTGCTCCCCAGGTTTGGGAAGGATTAGTTGTGCTCTGTGACTCATGACGAGTCTGAATCCCTTTTGAAGGATTCCAGGCCAATGTTAATGAGGGCTAGAAGTAAATCTTAACAGCTAAACTTTTGCTGTCTCTCCATGACCTGCACACACTGAGCAGCTGAAAGCGATATGTGTGTGTTAAAGGGTGCTAGAGATATATTACTTGCTGCTTGTTTCCTCATCCCAGAATCCCTTTAATCTCTGTGGCACACAGCAGGCAGAAAGTGGAGCAAGGATGTGGCGGCTAGAAGACAGTGGCATATAGGGATCCCTCCTAGAGTGGCTCAAGGATCAGCTTTCCAGTCTCTCACTTCCACCTGGCAGCATCAGTAGCAAGAAAAAGAGTTTGTCCAGGAAAGACTGATCTGGTGGAGGCAGTGGCTTTTTCACACAGTGCCCAGCAATCCTCCCTCGAGTCCCACAGTGTTTTCTCCTGCTCTTCTCTCTCCAGCGGTCCACAATGAAGGACCAGTATAGCTGTGGAGTGTGGAGAGATGGTAGCTACCCCAGTGCAGGGCACCAGGAACCACTCCAGAGGAGACAGATCAAATCACCAACACGCTGTAGGCCTCCAGGTTCCCCTCCCCTTCCTTGAGGATTTGTGTGTGTGGGTTTATTTTGTCTGTTTTGCCAAAGATAAATATACTCATCTGAGGTCATCCTGACAAATTTTGCGGGAATGATGATTCTTCAAGCCTGCCATGCTATCCTATGTGCTCCAATTATCAATGGGATTGCACTAAATCATCTAGGACATCTAAAGTCTGTTCCAGAAACATATTTAACTCTTCCCAAAGACAATCATTTATGTGAAGTGATCTCCTGCTTTGAATACAAACCAATTGTACTTCAGCAGCAGAGAAGCGCTGTCATCAGACAGAGCAAACAAAGCTGGCAGATGCAGACTTACCCTTAACTCTGACCTTTTCTGTCCAGTGATATGGAAAGAGAGTTTACAAGGCCCACATCTGCATAACATCAGTGGTAGTTCAGCTAATTAGTGAGAAGTGAAAGTTTAACACTCTAAATATGGTGCTCTCTAACTGATGACAGTGTTTTGTGATTTCATGAAGTTTTTGTAAAACATTGACTTGATGTAGATAGGTTTACGCTTGGTTTTATTTTTCCAGCATCTTAGACCTTGGTGTTTTAGCTGACAGACCTGTTTCTCTGTCAGTCAGGCATGTGTTATAGGACAGATTGAAATGTACCTTGCTGTGCTTGAGGAGAAGGATGTATGGGCTCCTCACAGGGATGCTGAACAGATGACTCCAAGGAGGGCTGGTGGCAGCCTGTTCTCAGGACCATGACGAGGTTGGAGTTGCACATTATGATGGAACAGACTTCAGAGGGATTTCACAGCTGGTTGTTGTCTAGTGGTGACCTGTGCCCATTCAGTGGTCTGGGCTCCTTGCTAGCCAGGTGTGGTCCTGTGTCTTTTCCAAGGCATCTGCAGGCCCAGACATAGGATTAGAGATGTTGTTCTCACCAATGTAGATGAGATTTTTTTGGTGCAGTGCAGTGCAACCTCCTGGGCAACACACAAATTTGTAGCACATCTGCCCAGGAGAAGGTAAATGCTCCCACCTCTGAAGTGCTGAGCACCACAGGCAAAGGTAAAGCTGGTGTGGCTGGGCCTCGCTCCAATGCAGTACCCAGGTAGGAGAGGACTGATCCAAGCTTCCCATGGCTGTCCCAGCTGAGCAGTGCCATTTTCAGCTGGGCTGTGACTGCCTGAGCTTCATCTCTGCTCACACGGGTTCCACACAGGCCCTGTTGTCAGAGGATAACATGGGCCTGGGGGTGTGATGCTACAGAGAAATTATTTTGTGGTACCTGGCTATCAGCAGAGCAGATGGGCCAAGAGCCATGGAGGGGCTCAGGACAGAGCCTGACCAAGGTGTTTTTGCAAAACAACAGCTCCAGGAAAGCAGGCCCTATGATGATCTGCTGGACCAGTGCTTCACGATATCAGTGGTGGCACCCAGGAGGTTGGTTGGCTTGTCACCTAGCTCAGGGTGACTCCACATTCACCTAAGCACAACCCTCCCGTCAGGAGCTTGATGTCAGCCTGTTGCTCAGCCAAGATGGAGCATCACTGCACCTGGCTGCCCTGCCCATTTGGACATCCTGATTTGAATACAGCTTCCTGCTCCTGATGCAGCTGACAGAAACAGCCACAGCCCCAAGAAAGCCACAAGCAACACGACTGTAGCCTGCCACTGAGCCAGCCCTGTTCCTGCCCTGCTGGGACCTTGGGACAGTTGAAGGTTCCCACGTGCATCTCCCATTGGGCAGCTACTCTCCCCCTGGCATGGTCATGCAAGAAAGCCTCAGATACCATCTGTAAAAACAGTCTCAAAGCCAGCAGCAGTCCTGCCTTTCAAGGGAGGCTGGGTCCAAAACAGGGCTGTTTTCTGCCAGTCAGTATGTGAGCAGAGGCAAGTCACCAGTTTCCTCTGGTACGCACCATGGCCATGGACAAACACATTTCACATTCACTCAGCTGCTGTTTGACATACGACAAAGATGCTGCTGTTGGAAACAGCAGTCCCTCCTCCCCATCACCCCATTCCCAATTTGCTGCCAAT